CCTCAATCAGAATCAAATACCAGGTATACGTTGTAAGTTTGAGCTACAGAAAAATTTCCCATAGCCACGTATGCTTTGCATTCTGGGATGCAGCAAGGTACTATAGAAGTGGAAAGGTATGTATAGGCTAGCAACTTGCAGTCAAATGAAAATATAAATTCTACATGTTCTCTAATAGGAGAACAACACAGGACCCTTTCCCTGCATTTACTTTTGTTGCTCCCCTCTCCGGACACGTATGGCCAATAACATTCTCATCTGGTTTGTAGTGATGCATTTTAGTTCACTTGGATTCTTCTCTGTGTAAAAAGAAGTCAAATTACAGGGAAAAGCTACAGGTTTACAAACTCATCAACTGATTTGAATCAGAGTAAAAGAACCATTGGATGTGAAAACTAAGGGTTAAATACCAGGGACTCTCCATAGGTTGTTATAGAACTAAAGAAGCCTCTTTCTTCCAAGAGGCTTCTTTACTTTGGTATGTGAACATGAAAACATGTTCACATACCAAAAGAACTCTATTTGCCTTCTTTCCAAGTACTTGAGACTTAGGCTTTATTATTATTTATTATTATTATTAACATTATTCCCTACTTAGCTGTTCTCATACCACTGTATCAGGATTTTCTTGGATCAGAACCTCCAACTTCAAATTGTTGAATTTACAGAATTACAAGCAACATAAATCTTTCACAAAAACTGTAAGGAATATATTGTTAAAAAATAAGTTATCCATCTAGGATACTAGAGTTAAGAGTGACAGGTGCCCAAGAAACTGAACTGGAGTCACTGATCACTGATACTTCTCCATCATGTCAGAAGCTCTTTTTTTAATGAATGACAAATATTTGACAAATGACATGGCTTTTTGTGTGTTACCCCTAGTTCATGAAGTCTGCGCATCAGTGTTGGTTAGAGCTGATGCTTAACAGATATTGTGTCTGTATGACATGCCCTTAAACTCTACAGATGCATCTTGATAACAGAGCTATTTAGAGCTAGCTGTTAATTCAGCTCCAAAAAGCTCCAAATAACTAGCACTGGGAACATTTTTAAGGCTTAAAAAACAGTGGCTGATGTTATGTTGCTATGTCCATCTTTTGGTGACTGCACATGCACGCAACTATCAGTCAGTAGGTCAGTCGGAAGGTGCATACTGAGCATTGTTTTGTGCAGAAAAAAAATCCCTGTGTGTTCTGGTGAGGACATCCTGAGTAGCGACATATGGTGGGAAGGTGTGGAAACAGCTAAGCAAATGGATCTTGCTTCCAGATTATGTCCCATATATTTACACCCACCCCTAACCCCACCCCCGAAACTCACACAATAAAACTAATACAAAAGGCTCCATGCCAATTGAATACAATCAAACATGCACCCAACCAATGAACACTAAAGGGGATCCATTACCTGGCAGTGTTGTTTGTTGTGTACATTTTCACTCTGTGTATTCTACATGAGTCGAGTGAAAAATGACACCCAAGCCGACAAGCATTGGCGAGGGTGAGATCAAGGCTATAACACAGCGAGCCCGCTACACCTGCGCTCCTTGACAGATCAGTGGCTGGGCTTGACTCCACCAAGGTGACACCATCCACCTGCTGAGCCATTAAGCTGCTCTACTGCCCTCAGGAGAGCTTGTATTGTGTGTGTGTGTGTGTGTGTGTGGGAGGGGGGGGGCAAGAAATGGAGTGCAACATCAACACCACGTGGCAATCAATACCATGTCATACTGATTGCAAAACCAAACAGGCAGCATTTCCACCTGAGCACCCAACCATTGTTGATCATGGGTGCTGACCCTGTGACCTCACGCTGAAAGATGGAGGGGGTCCAAGAAGAGTATGTGTCTCTCAGAAATCAATAAAGGGAGGGGATTTGTTTGCCAGCTGATTGTGACACCTAAAAGGTGCACACTGTGAAAGGGGGGTTGTCTCTGAGAACACCAAAGATCAACGAGCAGCTTTGTTAGGCGCACACACACACACACACACACTTCGACGAGCCACATTTAGAGACGTACTCATACAGTACAGAGTACAGTTGGCAAAGAGAGAACCCTACAATGTGGGTTAGCAGAGTAATCCTTTAGCCCAGGGCAAAGATGTCAGTAGGCCAAGGCAACCTGCTCACAGTCCAGGAACTGAGCTGGTGTGTGCGCCATTATTAATACAAAATACTGGAATTACTAATAAAGTGGAAAATATTCCAGATTAAAGTGTTAAAACTATAATAATCTTGAAGTTTTATGTAGCAGTAATCGGAGGAGCATATCCTCGTCTATCTTTAAGCTTACAGTAACAGAAGCTCTGCTGGACCTCCTAAAGCTCAGCCGATTAGGAAAACGAACAGACTGGTGGCTGCAATCGAAGCGAGCTTAGACTTAAGATATCGGACTCATCGCGCTTAACGCACTGTTGCATTTTAAAAAAGCAACGACTCCTATTCCTAGAAACTGGTCTACATAATGCAGTAAAACTGTCTGAATCTGCACCTAGTGTACGAGGAATACCAGAAACACTGCGTTTAAGCTCGCTTCACAATCCGGATGGCACGGTTTCCTTACCCCCCTCTTCCTCCAGGATCCACTGAATGTGCGTCCGTGAGAGCTTTTTATGTCCACCGCAGATGGTAAAATCCACGCTGTAAGTTTTGAACGCGGTGCTCCTCTTGCTTGCAGCTGAACCGCTCCCTCTCAGGTGGGACGTGGTTTGTCCGCGGCAGCCATTCAGACAAATGTGGGAAGCCGCGCACTGAGCTTTCTACTGGAACAATAAAGAGCAACACACACCGCCTCCAGCGCTCCGTGCGCCCCGGCACTGGTGGTGGTGGTGTCAGGGAGAGAAAGTGCAACTTGGGCGGCTCAGCAGCGCCATCGCACGGCCTGAGGAAGGTGTTGGCCATTGGTTTGTTTCTGACAATGAGCACTTTACAGCCTATTTAACTTAATAGAGATTAAAATTATTCAGGTATAATGCCCCAGAAAACAGACTATATCAGAATTATGAACAATATAGATATAATAGGAGTAAAGTAAACGTTGCTTAGATTAAAACATTTGAATTTAGTATCAATATTGAAGATAATCCAAAATTACACAATGCATTATAAAAGTAATGTAGCCCTTATGTATGCATGTTTGTGATTACATTTTTATTCTTATGTTTTGCTGCTAACACGTTTGGATGTTTACCTGAAATTTTTCCTAATATTATTTATTATTTATTTACTATATTATTATATATATATTTTAGATAATTCTTCCTTGTAATTAAGTATTTTGTGTTTATACACTTTGTATTAGCGCAAACGAAGGTAGAAAATAAATAGGAGGGGGAAAGAAAAAAACAAAAACAACTCACATTAAAGTGGCAAATTTATGAGAAAAGGCTAAAATCTTCGAGATTAAAGTACAAAATTTGTAAGAAAAAGGGGAAATTACAGAATTACACAACTACTAGTAAGGACTACAGCACAATGGACAATTAATACAAATATTTCACTTTATTTGAGAATTTTTACAATTTAATGTCGAATTTTTTTTTAGTTTTTTCTATCATTTCACCTAACAGCGATGGTTTACATTCCTTGTCTTTTTTTTTTTTTACTAGGCTGAAAAAATGATTTGTTATAAATAAAATCAAAGGGGGTTTTTGGAAAAAAAAAAAAGCTCGAGATGGCCCGTACGGGGATCGAACCCGCGACCTTGGCGTTATTAGCACCACGCTCTAACCAACTGAGCTAACCGGCCACGAGGCTACCCGGCAGAACAACTGTTTTTATATGTGTACCATATGTACTGCTCACGAAAGCGGTATAAATTGGTTGAACAAGCTCACATTCTTGTGGTTGGTTCTCTCTTTCACTTTTTCATTGCACTAGTCGCATTCCACGACAACCAATAAAAGCAAATACTAACTCTACGAGGCGAAAAGAAAACCTCAGCCCCAAATCGACGACGTCTTTCTTTGCCACGAAGCAGCATCAGCCAGGTCTGTTGCCATAGTTACGAGAGAGCGAGAGAGCGACAGAGAGAGAAAGCGAGAGGGGGAGAGGGGGAGACTGATCACGTGACCCAGCAAGATGGCGACTATAATGTAGAATGGGGGATGTGAGTACCACGTCTTATTGGCTAACCTTTAGGCTACTAAAACCAGCGTGTGTTCTCACATTGTTGGGAGCCGTGTTTGTTGCAGTTTTATTTTACTACGAATCAAATGCTTTTTCTTCACAGTGTAACTTTAAAAGAAAAGGGTCCACCAGCGCCGCCTTATCCTCCAGGACAGCCTACCAACTAAAGTGAATCCGCTAACGTTAGCTTTCTTATATACCGTGGTTATCAGTTATTGTGGCTGATTACTCAGCTGGTTTTACTCTGACCCGGGTAGCTCACCTCCAGCTGCGGCTGCACTCTCTCACCTTGTTCCGCTTGTGTCCTCTTCTCTTTCAGGATTTAAACTGAGAGGGTGGAAATTTGGATCTGCTGCCTAATTGTTCATCATCATTATTATCTTAGAATCAAGATGGCCCTAAATGTCTTTGGTAAGCAGCATCTCACGGTACACAATTGTCCCTGGAATGTCTTATGGATTTATGAATGGTGTGTTAATTTGTTTATGATTAACTTCCAATCTGTTGTTTAAACATGTTGTTTAAAAATGAAAAGAGGCCAGTGGTCGTATTCACAGAAGTTTCAAATAGTAGACTTGATTTAATGAAGAAAAATCCAGATCCTTTAAATAAGGAAAACTAGTATTGCATTAAAGCCATAAGTGGTTCAGCTTGTAGTTATAATTCTTTATAGCATCTCTTATGGACTCCAGGACACTTTGTTTTTAATTATGGTTTGGTTTTTGGGTTGTTGTTTTTTTAACAAGATGTACTGTCTACCAGCAATCAAAAGTATGATCTGAATGCACTGTTGTGCCAAATATATTTTGCTTTTCCAAGACAAGCTCTGTAAATTCTCTACAGGCTCCTCATGTTCGTCTTTCTCATCTTCTTTTTTTCTTTTTCTTTATTCATTTTTATTATGACTCACATAATATGTGCAATATAAATATGTCAAATCTGACAGGCAGCAAAAAAAAGAAAGGGGCAGAAAATAGGAGAAGATATATAATAAAAGGACAGGACACAAGTAGAAAAGCGCAATGGGTCGCCACCTGCTGCACCTGTAAGAACAATGGTTTATTAATCCAGATCCTTTA